TTGACGCAAGAAAGGGCTGAAGGCTCTCAGCTCTCCCATGGGAGTGTGTCTCTTCCCATGCTTTGCTCCACCAGTGTTTAAGCAAAGTGAGGTCTGTCAGAGCTAGCCCAAAGGGCCAGGTACAAAGGTGACAATTCACAGCCAAACTGGAGTGTAGCTGAGGGAGTTCTCCTCTTTCTGCTGATGCTGGGCCTCATACAGCCCTGAATAATCTTGACCGTGATGTAAGGCGCTTAGCAAACAAGAGCAGAAAAGCAGCAGTTGTGTTGCATGTTCAGGTGTTGGTGTGGAGGTGACAATGAAGACCAGAGTGGTGGCTGGGAGCTGGCTTGTCTCTGACCTTGTAAGCTTGAGGAGACACTATCTGCACGTTGGTCATTGAGACAGCATGAGACCATCTTCAGCTTCTCATCATTTCTGAAGCACAGACAAAAACTGTGATTACTCCCTGGCAGCCATGGTCATCCTACTTGTCCTGAGCTGTAGACCATGACTCTTCTGCTCCAGATTTGGGGAGTGATATTTTGTAGCCCTGGAGGTGGCTGTTTTAAGCCCTAGGTTCCAGCTGTGCTGACAGCCCATTCACCAGCACAGTTTCTCAACTCAAATGCACTCAGGTGGCAATTCAGTCTCCAACTTTCAGCTCAACTTCATCCATGCTAATTTGGGGGAAATGGAGAAATCTTCCTCCACTGAGTTATCTTCTTTTAAATCCTGATTTAAAACTTGTCTCTGACAGCTACAAACCATTCCCAACTAGCAAAAATGCATTTTCTTTTTCAGGTGTTCTGCATTGCTACTTCCTGACATCCTCTCCTTTAATCTTTGTTCCAGCCTCCACACAAAAAGGCATCTACCCAGGCAAACAGTGTTTCACCTTACAGCGCCTGGCACAAGGGTGCTGGACCCTTAAACTGGACTTCCTCAGTGTGAGTGGGTTAGATCCATACCCAGCTTATCCCCCAAATGAAGTGGTGTCATATGCACAGCCGTGAAGGAATGATCTGGCCCTCACCAGGGAAGAAATGGTTAATCCTGTGCCTTGCAGGAGAGTGCCTTTGGCATGAGTTTCAGTGCAATGACTCACTGGGGCCAGGCAGGAATGGAAGTGCAAAGACTCAACGGCAGCAGAGCAGCCTGGGAATCCCATGGCAGCCTCAGCCCTTAGCTCCTTGGAGCCAGGAGAAGTTCCAGCTGTGGCCTTAGAAGGCCAGAAGGAGAAACCTGCTGCCGTGTCCCAATCCCTGCATGAAGAGCTCTGCAAATCTTTGCCTGGGGGCTGGTGGAGGCTGGAGGAAAGGGCTGGGTACCAACAGCACTCAGTCATAGCTGCGTACTTAAGGATTCCAAGCAGTGCACTTTTACCAAAATATTCTCCTTATTTAAAGTTGCTTTTGCCTGCCAGCTCCTGAATCATACCAAGCCCTCTGAAGGGAAGTCATGTCTCCCTTGCAGCCTGTTTAGGGGTGAGGAATACTGGTAGCAAAGCATGTATTGCCACCCTGTGAGGACTGCTGTCTTTAGGATAAACCTGGAGCTCCTTATGGGCTGGGAGGAGAGATGGAAACACATAGGATGAGGCAGGCAATTCAGAGAACTTTGGGAGAGGTGGAGAGCCAGTTCAGCTCCTTTTGGCTCCAGTAAGCACTGTAATGCTCAGGACTGGGCAGGATTAGATCTTGAGGTGAGTCCCACCTTCTCTGTAGCTGAGCTACTCAGCCTCTTGGAGGCAACGCTGGGAGACAGGCACTTCCAGACAATGACTCAGCCCATCCTAAACCCTATCCAAAACAGATGGGATGGATTACTCTCTGGAGGTGTCTTCCCCTGCCTGGAGAGGGATTAGATGCAATGCCCAGCTTTCTGATGACTGAGTTGAGAAAGCTGAATCCCACCCTTTATTTTTACTGGGGATGAGGTACAAGCTACAGGAGAATGAACCATATGGCCTCTCTCATTCTGTTTGCTTTGGAGCAAAACCATGTGCAAAGAGGCACACTTGTACATAAGTTTGTACATATATTTATGACATAAATTCAAAGGTTTTTTTTTATTGAAGTTGCAGAGTCAAGCACATATAGAGATGCCAGAATCCAGGCTTTCTGTGCATGTGCATTAAAATATGACAGAATTTTTCCTGGGAAAAACTGACTCAAACTCCACGGAAATGAATTAACTGTGACAAAAATAAGAGACAAAAAGGAAAGAGAGAATGAAAGAAGGGGAGAGAGACATGGTCCCAGCCCCACGCTTGGCCCTTGTACGAGGGTGTGGAGAGGTGCTGTGTTTTCTAGAAAAGTCTGCTTCAATTCCCTCCTGACCCCTTCTGCAATTCTAGCTTGGATGCCGCGTACATCAAACTACACTGCTGCTCTGCATTGTTTCACCTTTTCTTTTACTTTTCTTTTGGCTGAACACAGGCAAGAATGACAAAAGGAATTTCTGAGTACACTGGAGGTGAGATGCAGTCTTTCTGCAAGAAGGCCAAAGCAAGATTATTTTACGTCTTGCCTTGTTCTCAGAAACAACAGAGCTGTTTGGGCTCAATAAATTCGTCTGAGAAAAGTGCAGTTTGACAGAATTGCAAAAAAACCTAATAAGAGGGGTTTTGTAACAGGAAAGGTCAAGTGATGTTAATTATAATCAGAGTTATAATATGGATAATGAGATTTGGGGAGTTTCCCTCCAAATCATTGCTTCTAGGCACCTCTTTCTCTCCCTTGCCCACCCTTGTGGGGAGTGGAGGGGCAGATGTTGCACACAGGGAGCTGTTGTGGTCTCATTGTTTCTTGCTTTAACATCCTGCTCCAAATTTCCTTCAGCAGAGGTTGGCATGAAGTCCTGATGACACTCACACAGGATAGAAGCTTCTCCACTTTCACTTTCTGCTTACTGTGATCCCATTTTTTTGAGGGACAAATGCATGGGCCACTCTTGTTATCATAGAATAAATCCAAGAGTACTTTTCTCCACTGTGTGATTGCTGCTTTGCCCTTCTATCCATGCATGAGAGATGGTTTGGCCTATTGGATTGAGAACTGGAAACTCCAAGTTTTGGGAAGCTCTCTGTTTGAGGCCTTGACATCATTACTAAAGTAGTCTGTGCCTCGGTTTTCACTTCTGTAAAATGGGACTATGAATGTTTGAGGGTCCCTCTGAAGGGTGATATCGTGTATTATCATCTGATGCATTTTTACAATACAAGGGCTATTGTAAAAGAGGAGATAAGAGAACATAAAACCTTCCCTCCTTTTTCAAATAACAGCTATTTAGCTTATCTTAGCAAGTTCTCTATGGACTGTTAGACTGGGGAGACAACCTTCATGTTTGGGGCAGGCATTCTTCTTCTTGAAGGTATATTTGGTGCACATCATGATATAAACCTAGTGGGCTTCTCCCCTTCTTTTTGAAAGAACCTCTTCCACCAGCATTTGGTTTAGTATTGTTATCTATGAAACATTCATAAAATGCATGGTGGTGAGACGTGAGCAATGTTCCAGCTAACCAAATGGAGGGATGAACCCTGCGATCCCTACAGAGGAAAATGGTTTATACAGAGGACAGAAACTGGTGGGGAGTGACTCCAGACCTGGCTCCAAAATGTTTGAAGATATGGGAAATATTCCCCCTGACTTCAGATGGATTGGAAGCCAAGTCAACAGCTGGGAGGATTAGAGATTCCACTGCGGTGGATAATTTGTTTGCAATTGCATCATTGCATCATCAGCTTCAGTGCGGAATCCAGAGGGATATTGACGACATAGCTTCATCAGTCCTTTGAGCTCCTTTCCAAACTGTCTTTACATAGCAACATCAGGCCTAGCAATATATAGTTTCCAGCACTGATGATTAAGTTTTGTATTTTTTCTGGACAAGCTCTTCACATATTTCCCTGATAGGCATGAAACAAACCTTTAAATGCTGATCAGTTCACCATATTATTTCCTGTATGGCTTTCCTTGGAATTTGAAAGGCTTAATTGCGGCCAAGAAGGGGCAGAACTGAGAAGCTGCTGATCCCTCTACTTACAGATAATGCCTCATATTTGTCCCATGTGTTTTGCATCCAAATATAGAGTATGCTTGCATGAGGAGAGGCTGCTTTTGGGCATCTTCTCTCAGCTGGTCTTACTAAGCTGAAGTTTGCCTCCATGTGAACATAGCTGCTAAATCAAAGTTGGTCACACTGGCGAGAACTGGACACATCTGCGCTCTTCCTGTTGGCTTATCCTCAGTGGTCTGTATTTCCCATCACCCAGGAACCTTAACCTCTTTCACAATGAACTCATCTTGACACCAGCTTTCCTTACTCTGCCTATATTTACATAGGATGACAAAGAGTGGAGCAATATAATGTTGGCCTATTGATGAAAAATATGCCTGGGACAAAATTGACTAGTGAGTAGACTCTGCAATGACTAGTCAGGGCTTCTCTTTATATCATATTCATTTGAACATACTAGCTTAAACATTTGTTAATTGCTGGAACTATTAATTGGAATATGTATATACCAATCAGTATCCTAATTATGAACAGAGCATATGAATCCTTGACACATTTAGAGGTATTTCAACTTATAAGTAACCTTTTTAACTACATGCCACTTACAGCTTACTGCAAGTCTAGAGGGCTTTAGAAGAACTCCACGAGGTTTTTTGTATTAGTCAACATTATTCAGTATCCCTTTTTTTCAGAGCATGGTTCTCCCAGTCACTGGGAGCTTTTATCCTAACTGTCATGCATGATTTTTAAGCTTAGTTAGGTCTAGACATATGTCTCACAGCTTTGCAAGACCTTTTACGCAAGAGTTGTTCTTTCATCTTATATTTGCATAGCACCTGGCACCACAGAGATCAGGCCTGGAGGCAGAGAAGGACATTCCAGTTTTCTTTGTAAGCCAAACTGGCAGTGTAAAAATATCTATATGATCAGTCAACATCTTAAGAATTAAATTCTTGCCCACTAAAGCAGTGACAGTTATGCCTGTCTTCTTTTTCTAGACCAAAGAAGCTCTCTTCACAATTCTCCAGGATCTAAGGCCTGAAGACCACTTCAATATCATTGGCTTTTCCAACCGAATAAAGGTCTGGCAGCAGGACCGGCTGGTGCCAGTTACTCCAAATAATATAAGAGATGCCAAAAAGTACATTCATAACATGTCGCCTACTGGAGGTACGATCCAGAGATATGAATGGGATTAATTCTGCTATCCAATTAACTACAACAGAATGGACAGTGGTGAATGTAGTCCTGTAGCATGTAGCAATAAAAAGACATTGGGATTTATGTCATGGGACCAGGGGGTCCCTTCCCCACCTCCACTCTGGGTTATTTGACAGATGGATGTATGCCCTGTATCAGCGTACATGATGGGAAGGTGGCTCCAGATCCAGTCATATGACCTAATATACTTATTAAAGCCAACTTGGGCCCGTTCTCCATTTAGCTGGTGAGACCCTTGGAGTGGAAAAGTTCCCAAGGTTCTTTCTTGAGGACATAGGAAAAAATACCATATCCTGGTCAAGGACACACAGGGCCAGTACTTGTGCATTTTCTGAAAGCCTGTGTAAAAGCATGCATGTGGTTTTGTCTGGGCTGGAAACTCCAGGGATGGGCTACCCTATGTGGGCTGTGGGATTGCCTTCTGCAAGAGCTAGTTTCTCACCTAGTACTGTTGTCTCTACCAAGGAGCAGCCAGAATGACATTTAAGAATTTCTTGTTCCTTTTTTGCTTATGTGTTGCTGCCAGGAGGGAATAGGGGAGAGGAGGAGACCCCAGAACAGTGGCAGCATGCAGGCATGATTTTGAATTTGATTCAGTGGCTTCCTATGAGGCTATAGACACTAGTATAAAAAAAAAAACAACATAGCAAGGTTTGTAATGAATCATAATTTGGCAGCTGTGCCCATCCTAGCTGAGCACTCCCCGGGTAAGCAGAGAGCTGCAGAATGACCTACGGAAATCCTTCTCCATGCGAGCAGTCACAGCTGGTTGAAGGTCAGACAGGCCCTTTCCATGGCTGTCCCTGAGCAGTGACCACTCTTAGCAAAGGAAACTCTCTGATGGAAAAACACAGCAAACAGGATGGTTTGCCATACTGTTTGTATTGTGAGAGGAAGAGTTTAGGAAGTGGTCAAGAGACCTGCCCAGTTAAACAATTACCAATAGTGGGACTAAACTCACAGTACAAAGCTTTTTATCCCTGAAGCGCCAAAAGAGCTGTGCAGGAACCAGCTGAGTTTGCCCATGAACTTGCCAGAGAACAAAAGTAAAAGGAAATGATTAACTTAGGTTCAACAGGAGGGTGCAGTGATTCTCCACTACAGGCCAGCGGTACTTTAGTTTTGGCTAACTCTGCATTTTCCCTATAAGGGTGCTGTTCCTTGAGTATCTTCCAGTGAATGTGAATGCACTCAAGCTCACAGATCATGTACATGAAGAATGTGCTGTGCTTACACCTGTGTGTCATACTCACACACCAAAGAAATGGGAACAAAATATTGCTGCTAAATATTTGTGCATATGGTAAAAGGCAGTTTTCAGTGCACAGTAGCTTCTGTGATATGGCTGGCTTTGAAATCACACTATTGTCTGCCACATGGGATGATTTTGTTTTGTTTTAGGGAAAAAATTCTTTCTGAAGTTTAAGATCTGCATGGAGACTGAAAGAGCATTAGGATATTTAGATGCAGGGTTTTGGTTCAAAACTATTTTGCAAAATACACAGTCTGGTTTTGAGGACTTTTCAGAAGTCTTAGCCCCTTTCTTGTTCCTTGTCTTGCTGCAGTCACTGGTGCTATGCACGCTAAGTTTCTAGGTACATGATGCATATCCTTGCTGATAACCTCCCTAGATATCCCCTTCTGAACCCCTAGAAGGAGTCTGTTATGTATGCTCTTAACCTATTTCACCTGCTCTTCTCCGACAGCTGTTTTTAACCCAGACATACTAATCTCACAAAGGTTCTACAACCAATCCCTCTTTGCTTTGACTAGCACAAAATATACACGGAGCAAAGAGATATCTGTACTTTTTCCTGCCTGCTTTTTTTCCTGAACAAGCAGTAGGTTTGAATCATTTTCATGGCTATTCTTCTAAAGTACACCTATTCCCTCATTTATTTTCTGTTTTGTCCCTCTCTCCCTACTTCAGGCAGCTCCATTCTCCACTAGCCAGTTGTTTTGTGAGAGCACACTCCTCAGCTAACAAAGCCATTTATCTTCCCTTTAAACTTTGTTAGCCCTTGGGGTTTGAAGAACAAACCCAACTAATTGTTTTCCCATGTGAAGGCTTTTTTCCTCTCTTCAAATCTTGTGCCCTTCAGACAAAATGAGCAGAACTTGCTTTCCCAGTTCAAATACCATCTGGGAGAGTCCCTAATTAAGTTTAACTGGTTTTGTAGGTACCGGCAGGACATGGTATGTGCTGTGACTCTGCTTACCATGGCTGACTATTGAACATTGAGACATTCAAGGACACAGCAATTTCACATAAAAGAAGAATAAAAGAGAAGTTGCGGGTGCCCCATCCTTGGAAGTGTTCAAGGCCAGGTTGGATGGGGCTGTGAGCAACCTGGTCTGGTGGGAAGTGTCCCTGCCCATGGCAGGGGCGTTGGAACTGGACGAGCTTTAAGGTCTCTTCCAACCAAACCATTCTATGAATCTATGAAACTGCAACTCGTAATTCAATTTGTAAGACTATAAACAGCTATCCCAAATTGGTGCTGAGTAACAGAGCTGAACGGAGTTAAAGAACTAGTGCAATCTCATGTAGAGAAAAAGAACATCCTGATGAACAGAGATCCTGTCATTGTACTAAAGGGAGCTTAAGGAAATTATTTGTACCACTCTTAGAAGGAGAAATCAGCTAATAATTTTCATACCTTCCCAGGGACTAATATTAATGGTGCTCTCCAGACTGGTGCAAAGCTGCTAAATGATTACATTGCTCAGAATGACATTGATGCCAGGAGCGTCTCTCTGATCATCTTCCTCACGGACGGGAGGCCCACTGTTGGGGAAACACAGTCGTCCAAAATCCTCAGCAACACCAAAGATGCAATCCGTGATAAATTCTGCCTCTTCACCATTGGCATTGGCAATGATGTGGACCACAAGCTGCTGGAGAGGATGGCACTGGAGAACTGTGGCATGACAAGGCATTTCCAGGAAGATGAGGATGCAGCCAGCCACCTCAAGGGGTTTGTTCCACTTTTTCTGTGCTTATATTTGCATTGGGCCCTCTGGGCAAGGGTTTTGGGAAGGAAAATCTTCTAAGGAGACCTTGTAAGAGATGGGAGTTTCTCTGAGGCTCAAGTCTGGTTGAGAGAGGCAGAGTATGCTCAGATACTGAAGATGCCTACCCAGAAATTGTCTCCTTCCTGGCAGACCCCCTGAGCTGTACTGGAGCTTCCCAGCCCCTCAGAACAAGGCATTTGTTTCCCTAATTCAGATCATTGCTTTGGGCATGTAAACCTGGAGAGATGGGAGGCCTGAGTGCCACCTCTCCATGGACGGATGGAGGGAGAAAAGGATGCATTGCTCACTTCAAATTGATAATATAAACAGCATTGAGTGTCTCAGGAATGAAGATCCCAATTTGGGGCAGAAAATTATTTCTTTATTTTTTGAAAAAGATAACCTTATGCCCAAACTCCAAAATATTTGACTTTTGGAAAAATACACAAGGGTCATGCCTGGGATGATCCTGTAATCGCTTCATTTCCTCATTCATTGTGACCCAAACTCCTAGCAAGTTTCCTGTAATCCTCATCATTCATCAGGACCAGAGGTTATGTTCTTCTGTGATCAGGGAGCTGTAATCCAAGGGGAGACCCTACTGAGGAACAGGAAAAAGGTATATGAACCACAGCTCTGTCTAAAATGTCAGGCAGTGTGTCAGTACTTCCAGGCAAAAATGTTTGCCTTTCACCCCCAAAACGTTAGTGTTTCGAACCTCAGACACCAAAAAGAGACAGTCATTGAGCAGAGACCTCTCACCTAGCTAGTGTTTAATTCATCTGGAGCATGAGAACATGCATCATCCACTAGATCTTTTCTTTCTGTGATGGTTACAGCGGACAAGAGTGTCTTCCTTTTAAATGGGATTTTGTAGATCCATCTGTGACTGCGTCCGTGTCACTTGCTTCTCAGAACATGTATTTTGGATTGCAAGTGGCATTCCCTGGCAAATGAAGAATGCGCTGATTGATTGGTCTGCAGGAACCCAGCACTGCAAATACTTGTTCAAACACCTCTATCTGATGAACAGCTCACTGATTATCAAGCTCAGCAATGGCAAAACCATTTGGCATCTGATGCCAAATTTACACAGAAAAGCATAATCATTTGCTGGTGGCCAATGCAAATCTCTGTTGGAGGGAAAATCTACATGCATGCCAATGTAATTTCTGATTTTTGTGGTCAGTGAGTTGTATTTTTACACAGATACTTCCTTGCGTTGTACTATAAGACAGGTTGTACCTCTCACTGAACCATTTGTTACAACCCAGGAGTTATTTCACAGATAGTTCTGAGGTTTAATTCACTCATGTTTTAAAATGTGATGAGATCTCTGCATCAAAGACACTGAGTTCTCAGAGAGACTTTAAAAGAAAGTCAACCAATTCAGGCTTTGAGTTTCCTTGGAGGGAGAATAAAACAGAAAGTGTGACTCTAGCTCCCAGACAATCTGTTTAAGCAGATGTGAAAAATAAATGCAGCTTGAAGTAAAAAAGGGCTGAGGCCAATTCTTTGTTTATTTACCAAATTAGACTCAAATGACTTGCCAAGAGATGAGGAGTCTGGCATTTAAATGGGAAATATGGCATTCTTGGAGTAGCTCGCAAAGATCCATCAAAAGCACATTGCTGCAGGGAAAACACAGTACTGTAAAATTAGGCCTTGACCCCTTGTAAAGGCTTTCTGGCCTGTTCAGTGCGAGGTATTCTCAGAAGTATGGTAGGTTGTGTTAACAAGGCATTATAGCATTAAGGTCTCTGGTTCCACAGAAGCCATGTCTTGCTCCAACAGAAAATCAGCAATAAAGTTGCAGTGAGTTCACTTCTGTCAGGCTGTCTGTATTTAGTAGAGTTCCTCCATTCCTTGAAAATGTCATCATTTACTGGGGCATAGTGAGATTCCTTCTTGATTTTTCTTTCTCCTTTAGCCCTCAGAAAACCGTATTCTTGCCTGTCCTACACCGACCAACCCAAACAGTAGTATCTAGGGCTCTTCCAGTGATAGAGAAGCTTTGGTTCAGATGGATACTTTCCAGCTTTGGGTGACCTAACATCCTGGTCTTACAGTTTCTGGATCTGGAATACCAAGCATAATACCACTAGAAATCTGTGGGTAACAGCATCTCTTCTAAGTACATTTTGAAATAACTAGGGTGCTTTCTGTGAGCTTGAGAAGCTAAGAATTTACTTTTAATGGACAGGTTCTCTTAAGTAAACTTAAGTGGTTACAAATATCTCCTTGCAGAGCTCTGGAATCATAGTGGAAAGTAGGTGACTGCCACGCCATGCCGGGATGCTTCAGAACATACTTAAGAGCCTCTGTTTAGATGCCTAAGAAACACTGAAAACTAAAATGAGGCAGAGAATAATTTTGGTTGAAATGGACCTCTGGATGTCATGTAATCCAGCCTTCTGCTCAGAGAAGAGCTAACTTTAAATTTAGGTGAGGTTTCTCAGGGCCTTGTCCACTCCAGTTTTGAAAATATCTAAGGGTAGAGGCTTCCCCATCTCTCTGGGCCCAGTTACAGTGGGTGTAGTAGTTAAATTTGAGGTCTGGTAGCTCTAACTGCTCTTGGATGTCTTAGGAGCCATATTAGATAGTCTGACTGCATCCTTGGCTCTGTATAAGTGCAAGAGTGTGTGCATACGCTTGGATGAACAGTACTAATGGTGAGAAATGTCTTTATTTAAGGTTCTATGATGAAATTGGAACACCCCTTCTCTCTGATATCCGTGTTGATTACCCTGAAGACAACGTAGAGCAAGTCACCCAGAACTTCTTCCCTAACTACTTCAATGGCTCTGAAATTATAATAGCTGGCAAACTCATCAACCACACCTCAGATAGTCTCCACGTGGAGGTGACTGCTAGCAACTCCAAGAAGTACATCCTCCTCAAAACAGATGTGTTTTTTTTGGAATGACATCAGAGGTGTCCCCGGCCTGGAAGATGGCAAAGGTGACAAAAATTACATTGAGAGGGCATGGAGTTACCTCACCATCAAGGAATTGCTTAACTCTCGGTTGAAGAGTGATGACGATCAGGAAAAAGACTATTTGATGGAGAAAGCCAAGTCAATGGCCCTGACTTACAATTTTGTTACTCCCTTCACCGTTCTGAAGATGAGAGAGGCTGGGCTCCATTCAGAAACATCTCAAGAGGAGTTTATCAGCCCTTCTACTGATGGCATTGGTGAGAAGTTGCAGAGCTTGCAGGGACACAAGGCACCGCCAGGTATGAGGGAATAATAACCATGTGCTGGTAAGAAAATTTTTTGCACAGGTAATGTCTCATGGCTGACTTTGGCAACAGGGATGGATCTAGCCAATGAACTGAGAGGTGGTAAACAGAAAGCTGCGATTTTTTCATATTGATTTTGCTAATTGTGGGCTGGATGACCTTAAGCAAACCTTTTAGGTACCTGACTCACCCCCTGGAAGCACTTACTGCTCTGTAGAACCTATTGAAGAAAAATTGGTATTCTAAATGAAGCTTAAAGTAGCTGCAGGAAAACGTCCCATAATCTCACTGAACGGTATTTTGGGAACATTATTATATTATGGCCTTTTCTGCCTCTCAGTAAGTAATTGTAACAGCCTTCCTTCCTCATTTCTAGGTATACACAGACAGCAAGATAAACAAAGAATTAAAATCTCCAAAACTTCAGGTCAGTGCCTGATTTCATGCCTTTAATAATCCAAAATAAGAGCAGTTGTTTTATGGAAACCTCAGTTGAATGCTATTGTGGTATAACCATCCTGGCGGATCTACCAAAATCCTGTTTACTAGACCTGCAGAGTAGGGAGGAAAATGAAAACAAAACCAAAATACAGAGAGGATCAGTAATGAGAAGTGTGAGGAAACACAGCAAGGCAGATGATCTACAACACTTGATACTCATGTTAGAGACTTCTGTACATTAGGTGAGCACAGAAAGCATGATCTCTCTGTACCAGAACTAGTCAAAAAACATTTTATAAAGTAATGTTGCTGAAACATAAAAATTGTTGTCAAGGGGAAAAAAAAAAAAAGAAAATTCTATAGTGTTTTGCTATTTCCCTGTTGGTTCTGCATCTGTACTTAACATCCTTTTCATACATTAAGCACTGAAGAATAAGCCCAGATCAAGAATTTAGACTTGAATTTCACTGGGTAAGGTCAAATTTACCTTAAATACTAGGGCTTTGGCTTGTCTTGTTATTAATAACAACTATCTGGTAGTTGATGATAGGTCAAGGATTGTTGAAAAATTAAGGTTGTGGGATTGTTGAAAAGTTAAGGTTGTGGGATTGTTTAAAATCTGGTGTTGACTGCTCCAGTCTGATATTGAGGACGAGGAAGGTTCAGTGTGAGGCGTGCTCATGCAGCAGTGCTTGATTAAAGGATACATTTTTGAGTGCTGTGAGGCATGTAGCCTCCCAACAGACAATAGAGGAGTGTAAAACACCTGCATGACAATTCCCATATATCACTGAAATGATATTCCAGGAAGAAAATATCCTGATTTTCACCTGGACCACTTTGGGTTTTGAGTTTTCATTGAAAACCCAACCTCTTCTGTGAGAAAAACAAAACAAAAGAATCTGTGAAAAACAAAGCAAAACTTGGCATTTCCTGGCAAACTCCATCCGACCCTCTAAAAACAACAAACTGGGAGGTCTTAGAAAAAACAGGGACAAGCACACTTTGAAAAGTGTTTTGTAACATTCTCAGACACTGCAGTTTTTTGTAAATCCCTCATATTTGTCTCTTTTTCCATGTCTTCTCAGCGGATGGAGACCCTCACTTTGTCATTGATTTTCCCTCCAGCAAGTTCTCTGTCTGCTTCAATATTGACGGAGAACCAGGGGACATTCTCCGACTGGTCTCTGATCATAAGGAATCTGGTGAGCAGCCAAGCAAAGCAGTTGCTTGTGGAGGAAAGCTGTAGTGCAAGGCCAGCTCTCTAGCAATAAGACTAAGCACCAAAATGCTTCATAGGCAAGAAAGTGGCAGGAAACCAGAAAAAGTTGCTTTTCTGGTCAGTATGGTCTGGGGGTTGCACTTGACCAGTGCTACAACAGCCACAGCTGAATGAACAGCCATAGGCATTTTGCATACTGCGTATGGCGTTTGCATAAGCCATGAAGCCACCTCCATGCCAAGAGATTACACAGGGGATTCAGCTTTCTAGTGCAGAGACAGTGCATTTCTTTGCTGGTGCAACTTCACCAGCCCTCTAGCTACAAAGTCACAGCGTGCAAAGAAAAGGTTTGAACTCACGAAAATTGTTCTGTTATCAGAACGTCACTCTTTACTTACACCACTGTTTGTTTCAGGACAGAGCGAAGTATCAGAACAGGCTAACCAAGCACTGAGGCTATTTCAGCGAAGAGACTACCAAACTGATCACATAGCTGTGACAGCCTTGAGAAAACCCACACGATTCAGGATCTGCTTTGCCCAAGCCAGTCTGATCCTCAGGGGCCCAAACTGTGGTCTGATCCCATCTGGAATTCTAAGCAGGGCAGCTAATAAGCAGATTATGTCCTAAGCAGGGAAGCGGGTGGGAGGAAGGGATGTCAAAACCAGAGACAATGCACAGACTTGTTTTACAAAGAAGACAAACAACCCCACAATAAAGTTATAAGAATTCTGTTCTGTGTGGCAGTGGTCTAGCCTCCATGTTTCTGTTTTCATGCCTGCCTTAGTGAACAAGATCCAGCTCCTGGCAAGGTTTCCCTTAAACTTCTTTCACAGGCTGTATTTGTGCCACCGCTTGAATGATTGTGTGGCTCAAATGCAGAATGAGCTTGAGGAAAACACTCTGTAGCGCTAGCAAGTTGACTCTGTGAAGACAGAAATGAGAGATCCCCCCAGGACTGATGGGATATGGAGATATTTCATCTCAGTGTTGATGGCTTGGGCCTAGCTTGGATTAACAACAGGCCTCCTCCTTTACTGTTCTGTCTGGTAGCTGTTCAGAGGCCTGTAGGAAGTGCAACACTGTCTTAGGAACAGCAAGTCACAAAAATCATTAAAATGATTGGGAATCTTTCTGTGGATATCTAGGCTCTATTTGACTCAGTGGGATCTGCACCTTAGACTACTCAAACGTGGTTCTTTTGTGGCAAAACTGAGGGGAGTGGGAAAGGCAGCACTGGTGAAGGATGGGAGTGCAGGGTTCAGGGTCCTCTCTGCAGTGACGCAAAGAGAACCTGAATTTCTTCCACTGCCACCTGAGGAGGTTCAGCACCTTATCTGAGACTGTTGCAGGTCAGGCTTTTCCCTCTACAGGTCCTGCTCAGTCTTTAGCATGTCGGCCAAGGTTGTAACCCTTACCCTGTGGCTTCCCAGGCTAATAATCTTCTTAGGAGACAGGTAGAGAGGGACATCAAACTGCAACTGTCTACTACCCTGAGATTCTCTGGGACAGCAGCATTCAGATACATCCAGATCCTCTGTCTAGAAGTTCAGTCCCTATGCCAGCTGGTGATATGAGGAAAAGCAGGCCTGCCAGCAGCTTTTCTTAGTCCTCCAAGATCTGGTGTGTTTGCCCAGGTTTGAGTTACACATCAACAAATACATGGTCTAGGTAAATCGTACCACAGTTGGTCAGGCTATAGCAGTCAGGAAGATAAATATTTGTCTTATGTGGCTCAAAATCCCCGCACATCATTGTCTTGTTGATAGGTAGGTCTAAGGTTGGATGGAGCTTAGGAAGTGGCTGTGCTGAGGAGCAGCTTAGCACTGTGTACACAGTGCTAGGACTAATGAGGCTGGGTGCACTCGTCTCCAGGGAAGGCCAGTATTTCTGACTTGGGTAAATTTAGGTGCTGTGTATAAGGTAATAATTTTATAACAGACTGGTTATACTGTTTTGAATACCGGTAGGTGAAATAATCAAGCATGAGGTAGTGAATCTGCATGTCCTCAATTGCAAGGCTTGTATGTTTGAGAAAATAGACCTATTCTTGGTTCCAGCTTTCATTTATTGATTATTTTCCTGCAAGGTGTAACTGTGAATGGGCAATTAATTGGAGCTCCTGCACCACCCAATGGCCACAAGAAGCATCGGACTTACTTCAGCACCATCACTATCCTCAGCAATAAGCCAGAGAGATCTTACCTAGAGATCACACCCAGAAGAATCATCCTGGATGATGGGGAAAGACTTCTTCTGTCCTGTGATCGGAGTGCTGTTGTGCGAACCAGCAGCCTTGAGGTGTCCATCTCTGCCAATTCCAACGTCACAGTGACAATACGAGACACAATCAGCTTTGTCATCCTCATCCACCATTACAAGAAGCCAGCCCCGTATCAGAGGAATCACCTGGGGTTCTACATCTCCAACAGCAAAGGCCTTTCTTCTGACTCACATGGGCTACTGGGTAGGTAACAGGTTCTCAGGTTCAGAGCTGTAAACCAGACAAAAATGATCCTTCCAAACAGTTTTAAAGGACAGAGACAGGAGGTAATGAACAAGGAAGGTGGGGGATTAAGTTCCCAGTTGAGACTTTTACATCCACTCACAAACAACTTCTCTGTTGCTAGTATCCCCAACTCCTCTTCCATCTCTTTCTGTATGAGCCATCTTCCACTATCCTAGCTATGTGGCTGTGCCTGTTTTTCACATTTCCACTCTTTTTATGATTAATACAGTTGTCATTAGAATACATTGGAGTACTCGATGCTTCCAATACAGAAACAGAAATCAAATATTGCACAAGACCCCTGAATAAGGCACCAATAAGGGATTCTCTAACAGTACTCCTAATTCAGAACAGCCCAACTGCTACTGTACTTTCAAGGGACATAGCAAAGTAGGGTCTGAATCTCTCTAGGCAGAGAAGACAATCAACTGAGGTCTTGCAGAATCTGAAAGAGAGCTCTGTGTACCTTTGTGCAAGGTCCTGCACCTGAGTCGGGGCAACCCCAGGTATCAATACAGGCTGAGGGATGATGTGATCAAGAACAGCCCTATGGAGAAGGACTTGGGGTTACTGGTAGATGAAAAGCTGGACATGAGCCGGCAATGTGCAACTGCAGCCCAGAAAGCAAACCATATCCTGGACTGC